CTGTTCTACAATTTTGAAATCCCAGTCTATCCCTTATTTGTTTATTTTCAATGGCGATACTGGGGATTGAACCCAGGACCTTGTGCTTGCTAGGAACGCACTCTACCACTGAGCTATCTCCTTCCCCCTAATTGTTTTTTTAATGGACGCACTGGGGACCTCCTGCATGCTAGGCATGTACACTACCACTGAGCTATATACCCTGTGCCCAAATGTTGCCACTTTTTAGAGGCAATATGGAGAACTTTATTATAAATTATTAATTTATGAGAAGCATTTATTATAAATGATTTTAGTTTAAAATGAAACACTTTACTATAAATAAGTTATGATAAACGATTTTGTGATAAATGATTAATTCATGATAAGTATTACATGTATTTTTGAAGTGTAAGATAATTTAAATACATAACACGGACACTAGACAAATTTTTGATGGATTAATGAATCTCCCCCTTCTCCTGCAAGCAAACAGGATCCTCATGTGTGTGTATGTGTGGGAAGGATTAGACATTGTCCAACTGTCAATTTTACCAAGTTAGAAACTTAACAATCTAATAAAGACTCAACTTCTTTTTTTTTTTTTGGTAAAGATTGAACCCAGGACCTGGTACATGCTAAACATGCCCTCTACCTCTGAGCTATTACCCCCGGCCCCACCCCCAAAGCGTCAACTTCTAACTATTCTCCCCATGTTTTTAAGGAAGAAAGAAAAAAATGTTTTACATTAAAAAAAAAAACTAGAAAGGACATAATCTTAGAATATAGCCTCTTCATCCTGTAGGGCCCCAGAGATCCAGAGAAGGAAGCAAGAATAGGGTGAAGATGTCAAAGACTGAGCAGGAAGAAGAGAAGAAAGGTAAGGAGAAGTCATCCTCTTTTTCCGATCATGTAGGATGGGACATCTGTTGGAAGGATAAAAGAAATAAGCTTAGGGGTAGTGGGAAAACTTTGGGAGACCTTTTGAGGGAAATGGGTGTTTATTTCCAAAGGCCAACAAATGGAGTCTTTGATGATATTAAGGCCCCATAGCACCTGTGATCCCCTCCTGGTTTCAGAAATTGGTGCAGCTGCACCTCGCTTGTTATTGGTGATGATTTGGGGAGAAACAGGGAAATAGCACAGAAACCATGGTCTATTTGTGGAAGCCTGGAAGAGTCTGATTTCAAGCCAAGAGAATGCAGTATTTTGTTGCCAAGATCCCTAGAAAAGCTCTCAATTCTAATAGCAGGTCCTTGAGGAAGTCAATAGTCTTTGGTCAGGAGAACACTGATGGCAGCAGCATCTCCCAGCCCTCCTTTCTCATCTGGCTTATCTTCCAGGCACACACTGTGGTTGGTGTTGCTGCAGCTGCTGGGGCAAGATAAAGCCCGTCCATTTCTCCTGCCTCTGGGTCCAATTTTTTATAGCTTCATCAAGGTATAATTTACATGTCATAATATTCACTCATTGTAAACGTACAATTCAATGATTTATTTTATTTTACTTTAATTGAAGTATAGTCAGTTTACAATGTTGTGTCAATTTCTGGTGTACAGCATAATGTTTCAGTCATATATGTACATATATATTTCTTTTCATCTTTCACTGTAGGTTACTACAGGATATTGAATATAGTTCCCTGTGCTATACAGAAGAAACTTGTTCATCTATTTTATATATAGTAGCTAATATTTGCAAATCTCAAACTCCCAACTTATCCCCTCCCACTCTCTTTCAATGATTTTTAATACATTTATAGAATCATACAATCATCATCACCATCCAGTTTCAGAACTTTCTCATCACTTCCAAAATTTCCCACAAGCCCACTTGTCATCACTCCCCACTCCCTACCCACCAGCCGTAGGCAACCACTGACCTTTTTGTCCCTATGGAGTTACCTTTTCCCAACATTTCATATAAATGGAATCATACAATATGTGGGCCTTTGTATCTGGCTTCTTTTGCCTGTTAATATAATGTTTTTGAGATTCATCCATGTTGTATGTAGCGTGTATCAGTATTTTGTCCCTTTTTATTGTTGATAGTAATTTTGTTTGGATATACCACATTCGGTTGATCCATTCATTAGTAATAGAAATATAGATAGTTTCTAGATTTTGGTTATTACGAATAATGTTGCTATAAATATTCACATCCCAGTCTTTGTATGGACATGTTTTTATTCTCTTGAGTAGATTCCTAGGAGTGAAATTGTTGGGTCGTATGGTTAGTTTATCTGTAAGTTTTCAAGAAACCTGTCAAACCCCTTTCCAATGGCTGTACCATTATAAATTCCCACCAGCAATGGATGAGGATTCCAGTTTCTCCCCATCCTCCTCAACACTTGGTATTATCTGTCTTTCTGGTAATAGCCATTCTAAATGGTATATAGCGACATCTTATTGGGGTTTTAATTTGTATTTCCCTAATGACTAATGGTGCTGAGTATCCTTTCATGTACTTATTAGCCATTCCTATATCTTCTTTGGTGAAATGTATACTCAAATCTTTTGCCAATTTTTCAGTTGAGTTGTTTGTCTTTTTATCGAGTTTTAAGAGTTCTTTGTATTTTCCGGATACAAGTCCATTATCAGATATGTGATTTGGAAATATTTTCTTCCAGTTTATTGTTTGCCTTTTCATGTTTCTTGAGAAAAATATATTTTTATTTTACAATATTCATTGGAAAAATACTGAATATACATCTATCTATATTAGATATTAGATATATATATATTATTACTGGTATAGATATATATTGTTACTGAAGGTATACCAGTATATATCAGTCCTTCAACAACGGTTATTCTGGGGTGATAGAAATTTTAGTTAGTGAACTTTTTACTCTTCATTTTAAATATTTCCGTAATTTTTAAATTCTTTCATTTTAATGGGCTTTTCAAAAAATATGGAATGCTTCACAAATTTGGGTGCCATCTTTGTGAAGGGGATATGCTATTCTCTGTATTGTTTCAATTTTAGTATGTGTGCTGCTGACGCAAGCACTGTCTTCGTTTTCTTGGCGGTGTCTTTTGAAGTGCAAACATTTTAAATTTTATTGAAATCCAATATCAACTTTTTTGGGGGGGGGTCAGGGAACAGAGGGATTTTTTATTTGTGGGAGCTTTATCCTAAGAAAGTAACTTAGACATCCATGATGTCCCAGGAAGAATATTTCAAGAATACTTCAAAGAATATTTTTTACTTTTCTCAGGACCAGTTGCATACTTAAATGCTAAAGTCCTTGGCTGCAGCATTTGGTAACATTCTTTTTTTGTAAACATTTTTTTTACTGAGTTATAGTCATTTTACAATGTTGTGTCAAATTCCAGTGTAGAGCACAATTTTTCAGTTATACATGAACATATATATATTCATTGTCACATTTTTTTTCTCTGTGAGCTACCACAAGATCTTGTATATATTTCCCTGTGCTATGCGGTATAATCTTGTTTACCTATTCTACATATGCCTGTCAGTATCAACAAATTTTGAACTCCCAGTCTATCCCTTCCCACCCTGCTCCCCCTTGGCAACCAAAAGTTTGTATTCTATGTCTATGAGTCTGTTTCTGTTTTGTATTTATGTTTTTTTTTTAGATTCTACATATGAGCAATCTCATGTGGTATTTTTCTTTCTCTTTCTGGCTTGCTTCACTTAGAATGACATTCTCCAGGGACATCCATGTTGCTGCAAATGGTGTTATGTTGTCATTTTTATGGCTGAATAATATTCCATTGTATAAATATACCACCTCTTCTTTATCCAGTCATCTGTTGATGGACATTTAGGCTGTTTCCGTCAACTTTTTTCTTTTATTAGTTATTTGGTATCTTTAAAATTTTTTTTCCCTCCAGTTTTATTGAAATATAATTGACATGCAGCACTGTATACATTTTTTTTTCTTTTTTGCCAGGAGGAGGTAATTAGGTTTTTTTACTTATATTTTTTAATGGAGCTACTGAGACTTGAACCCAGGGCCTCATGCTGGCTAGGCATGCACTCTACCACTGAGCTATCCCCTCCGCCTTCTTTGGTGTCTTTTTGAAGAACTCTTTACCTAACCTCAAGGTTGCAAAGATTTTCTCTTATGTTTTCTTCTAAACATTTTAGCTATAGGTCTAGGCTCTATTTTGAGTTAATTTTTGTGTATGGTGTGAGATAACAGCCTAAATTTACTTTTTCCATATGGATATCCAATTGTCCCAGGACCATTTGTTGGAAAGACTGTCTTTTCCCTATTGAATTATCTTAGTACTCTGTCGAAATCAATTGACCATAAATGTAGGGGTTATTTCTAGACTCTCAATTTGATTACATTGATCTATATGACTATTTTTGTGCAGATACCACCCTGTCATGATTAACTTTTGAAATTGGGTAGTAGAAGCTTTGTTCTTTTTCAAAATTGTTTTGGCTATTCTAGGTCATTTGCATTTCCATATAAATTTTAGGTTTAGCTTGTCAATACCTACAACAAAGCCCTCCAGGATTTTCTTAGAGAGTTCATTGTAATTATAGAACAATTTTGGGAGAATTACCATCTTAACAATATTGAGGGGGGAGGGTATATCTCAGTGATAGAACACGTGCTCAGCATGCAAGAGGTCCTGGGTTCAATCCCCAGTACCTCCTCTAAAAATAAAAAACCCCACTCCCCCCCCCAAAAAGATAAAAGAAACAAAAAATAATTTCTAAAATATATATATAGAGAGAGGGTCTCCTATGAATGTGAATTGTTTGTCCATTTATTTAGACCTTCTTTAATTTCTCGCAGCAATGATTTAAGTTTTTAGCACACAAATCTTGAGTTTCCTTTGTTAAATTCATTCTTAAGTATTTTATGCTTTTAGTTACAATTGTCAATGCAGTTTTTTCCCCTTAATTTTACTTTTGGATTGCTCATTGCTAGCATGTTGAGCTGCAGTTGATTTTGTATCCTGAAACCTTGCTAAACTCACTTCTTAGTTCTAGTAGTTATTTTTTAAAGGATTCCTTAGGATCAGATTTTCTACATAGAGGATCATATTGCTTATGAATAAAGACATTTTTACTTCTTCTTTTCTAATATACATGTCTTTATTTCCCCACCCCCGCCTTTTTTTGGCTGGTTGCATTTTTGGCTAGAATCTCCACTAAGAGCAGACATCCTCACCTTGTTCCTGACGCTAATGAAACTAACTTTTCCTTTACTTCCAATAAGAAGCTCTATGCAAAGATATTTTTTGATTATGCTTGAACAATCGCAAGGACTTACTTAAAAATATCTTTTTTCTTTTTTTTCTGGGGGCGGGTATTTTTATGTTGGTGTTATATAAATCATTTTAAGAATTGTGATTAGTGGTGTCCGCCAGCCACTTGAGCTGGATGGAGGGCTGGCAAGGGTCGGGAGGCTGTGCACTCCGGACAAGGGCAGCCGGCCTCCCATAGCCTCCAAGCTCAGGAGTGTGAGGAGACCCAAGCCCTGTCAGTGAACATGGATGAGCTGCGGCACCAGGTCCTGATCAATCAGTTGGTGCTGGCATCGGGCTGCACAGCAGACTAGGAGAAGCGGCTGCTGCAGGCGGTGCACTGGCAGCTGGAAGCCGCCCTGAGCACGTTTTTCCAGGAAACCAACATTCCCAATAGTTACACCAGATGATGTGCACCCCCAGCAAACCCCTGCCACACCACCAAACTTCGCCGATGCGCTGGACATGTTCTCTAGGCTTTGCACTCGCTCCCCCCACCCTGCCCCAGAACCAGCAGCACCGCAATGGCCTCATGACAGCCATGGCCCACTCCCTGTCTGCAAATCCCAGCTACCATGCTACCTGAATCCCATCATCCTCCCCTACAGCCCACAGCTTCCACCATCCTTACCACCCACAGCCCATATGCCCCCCTCCCCAGTACAGCAAGGGCACCCACAGAAAGACAGGGTTGCAATGGATGGCCAGAGATGAGACTGGATAAGGCAGGCACTGTACTGGCGCTGGGGGACAGTCCAGGGTTGTGGGGACAGAGGAGGGCCAGGGTGGCAGGAGATGGGGCAGTGGGGGGTGGTTTCTTGAAGATGACACTGGAAGATTTTATAAAATATTTTTCGTGGGTGGGGGGACAGTAAACTTCCTGAGACACACACACACACACACACAATATATATATTAACTTGTCAGTAGGTTTTTGGGAGCTCGGCTTGATGGAGGAAACTCAGGCTGGAAAGATTAAACAAGCAGACTTCAGCCTGATGTACCCAGCCCATCTGTTTCGCCCTCCCATCACCACCTCCGGTCTGACCTGGGCATGTATGAACTCTCTTTGCACAAAGCAAAATGAAACAGCTGGGCTTCAGCCAGCGTGTAACAAAACATGTTGAGAGGGAGGGTATAGCTCAGTGGTAGGGTCTGCTTAGCATGCACAGAGGTCGTGGGTTCAATCCCCAGTACTATCATTAAAAAAAGTAATAAACCTAATTACTCCCCCCAGAATATTAAGAGCATAAAAGACAAGAAAACTACGTGATCATATAGATGCAGAAAAGGCATTTGACAAAATTCAGCTCCCTTTCATGATTAAAAAGTCAACAAACTACCAATGGCAGTGAATTTCCTCAACCTGATAAAGGCATTTATAATATATATATATATATATATATATATATATATATGTCTGCAACTAACATCACAATGGTGAAAGACTGAATGCATTCACCGTAAGATTGGGAAGAAGGCAAGGTTGTTCACTCTCACCTCTTGTACTAGGCATAGTACTAGAAGTCTTCACTAGTGCAATTAGGCAAGAAAAAGGTAAAAGGCATACAGATTGGAAAGGAAGAAATTAAACTGTCCCTATTCACAGACGACAAGATTGTGCAGATACAGAGAACAAACTAGTGATTACTAGGTGGGGGGGGGGAAGCAATTTAGGGACAAGGGATTTAGAGGTACAAACTATAATGTATAAAATAAGCTAGAAGGATATATCGTACAACACGGAATATAGCCAGTATTTTATAATAACTATAATTGGTGTATATGCTTTAAAATTGTGAATCACTATGTTATGCACCTGTAACTTACATAATACTGTATAGCAACTATACTTCAATGAAAGTTAAAAAAAATTTTTTAAAGAAAGCTTCTCTATGTAGAAAATCTCAAGGAATCTACAAAAACAAAACAAAACAAAAAACTTCTGAAACTCAGAAATAAGCTTAGCAAGGTCAACAAACAAAAATCAATCACACATCTATAAACCAGAAATGTACAATTAGAACCCCCCTCAAAATGTACAACAGCGCCAACAAAAATGAAACAGTTATAAACCTAACAAAACACATACAGGAACTGTATGCTGAAAACTATAAAATATTGATGAAAGACATCAACAAGAGCTCAATAAATGGAGAGGCATGCTGTGTGCAGTGACTGGAAGACTCAGTGCAGAAAAGATGTCAGTTCTCCCCCAAATTGATCAAAATATTTAATTCAATACCAATCAAAATCCCAGCAGGAGTTGGTGTGGATATAGATTGATTCTAAAATTTATATGGAAGGACAAAGGAACTAGAGTAGCTAAAAGAATTTTGAAAAGGAAGACTCAAGTTGGAGGAATCACACTACTCAATTTTAAGAATTTCGGTGAAACCATAGTATTCAGGACAGTGTGGTATTGGCAAAGGAACAGACACAAAGATCAATGGAGCAAAATAGAGTTTGGAAATATATTCACACAAATATTGACCTTTGATTTTTTGACAAAGTTGCAAAAGAAAGTCAATGGAAGCAGGACAGTCTTTTCAAAAAAGTGGTGTTGGAACAATTAGCAATCCATGTGCAAAAAAAACAAGAATCTCGATGGAAACCTCAAACTTTATACAAAAATGAACAAAAGCAGATCATAGAGCTACATGTCAAACATAAAACTATCAAACTTTAGAAAGAAAACATGGGAGAAAATCTTTGCAACCAGGAATTAGGAGAAGAGTTCTTAGACACGACACCCAACACATGAAATATAACTGA